GAGTGCAGCGATAGGTAGTGGCAGCTAGCCCTGCCATAGCTGTAGCCTAGCATGTATGTGTGTGAAGTGTGATACTGAGTGTTGCGTGTGGGACGTCCAGGGTGATCCAGAGTGCGAGCAGTGAGTTGTGTGGGCGCTCAGTCGCCATAGCCAGTTTGAAGAGAACTCTTATGTGGATACGATATCTTGAGTACTGTGTGGGCGCCTGTCGCCAATTTGCTGTTTCGCTGTTTGCATACATGACAAGTTGAATAATCAGAAGTGTGATTTCAAAAGTGTCCATGCTTGTTTATTGTTTCTTGGTGCAGTATACTATAGGAGGCGAGCATGCACAGTACGCATCCGGAACTGACATTATTAAGTTTCCAATGGGTGGCCATGTCCTGAAGTACACCTTTCAGGACAGAACACCGTCGACTTTGGAACTAGCTACGTCAAGAATGGCAGGGAGGACGCAGGTTTGGCTTCTTGCGCTGTTGACTCTTGTTTCCCCCTTTTTCACCTCGCGCCCCACCCTCCTCCGCTCCGCCTGTTATGGAGCTGTATTTCAAGGTGTGCTTGAGGGACTGCAAGCGGAGGAGTGATCAGGTCATCCAGTACTGGATATGGATTTTTAGTCTTTTGGGAGAGTTGTCTGGACATTGGTTTGGGTTTCATTCATGCTGACTTTGTCAAAATCGTCACGGTATTTCCCCATGTCTCTTAGCTTTTCGATTTATCTTTCTGTTTTGCACACATACCATCAAGCTTCTGCTTTATTTTTTGAATTGTATCGAGCTCTAGTCTACGAGGCCACGTGACCCTGGTCTTGCCCAAGTGATCCAGCTTGATTGGTTGCTTCCATTCAATCCATTTCGTCAATCTGGATGTCCCGCACATGGGGTTTCAGGAGGCTTTTAGGTGTGGTTGTGGGAGGTGTTTTGATCTGCCTCAGAGATTCCACCCCTCAGGAAATGATCCCTGGGATGCAGCGGCATGCCCACGATGGCTGCCATGTTGGGGCACTGACATCTGTTATGATGAGGTTCTTTTGTCATGTGTGTTCTGGGGGAGTTGGTGGGGGGTCTTGTTGAAATTCCTTTCGAAAGAGCAGCAGGGATCTGTTGGCTTTTGCTTGCCTCTCAATTTAATTGTGTGCAACGGAGGGTGGGGGAGGAGAACATGAATTGGACAGATGTAAGAAGGGATTGAGTGGCGGG